TGTGTGTAGTTTCCATGTTTCAGTGTTGGATGACACTCGAATAATTTTGAGTTGGTTACTAGGTTACTGCAGTGACCTCATATGTGCATGAGAGTCTTTTTTGAAGAAAGGGTTCAGTGGGTAAGTAGTGCTCCCACTTTACTTTCACTGTTACTGGAACTTTCTCTGAAGGTCAATCTGTGGCAGGATTTTATGGTCTCAGGCAAACTTCTGCAAATCGAGGCCAGACACCCCGAGGAACGTGTCTGTGACACATTCGCAAGGTCTAACCAGTTTTCACAAACGAGACTTTACATACCGAGTCATGGCTATGGAACCATTAAATCTGGATCGGGGGATTGCAGATTATTAAACGACGCTGAATCACTTTCAGCGATGATCTACTGTCGCTTGATACAATATGATCGCTTTCGGTGAAATCGGAAGCTGTCAGGTGGTTGAGTCAGTGTTAGCACGAGGCCTACGTACCTCCCAGAGCATGGCGATGCTGAAGATGACCTGAGCGGCATTGTAAGCGACGAGGACGCTGTTCAGCTGGAAGGGCTTCCTGTTGGCCATCAGGCGGGGACCCAGGATCACCACCAAGTACAGGTACACTGCTACAATGAGCATCGTGGTGACCGGGCTGTCCATGAGGGGCCAGTTGTTCACCCGGGGGTCTGAAACGTCAAAATGTCTCGATATTTTCTGCTGCGCCCCGCGGCCGCTCCGAGGAAGCGCATTTGTTGGCGTTCCAGTTCTCTCGTTAACACCCACGCGAGGGCTCAGGGTGTGGATGCAACTGTGCACATTTCTATCGAGGTTTGCTTCAGGCACCTCATCACAGCACTGTGCTGTTGAAACTGCCTGCATTGCGTTGGACGCCAATGGAAGTGACGAGAGACCGACGGACGACGACGACGACAATTGTGTGTGTGTGTGTGTGTGTTGGCGTCAGGTTTCAGTTTGTTAAACTTAAAACTCCATTAACGAAACACTTCACCTTGACCTGGTGCCTCTTGTTTTCAGAAACGAGTAACTGGCCACCGAGTCGTGCCGGTAGAACTTTCGCATCTGTGATGGAGTAAATGCCAGAAGGAACGGAATTGTGGAGGAAATGCCGCCGAAGCTCAGGTTAGTCTGTTTTTTCTTTTTCTTATCCCTTAGCTGTTTGTGCGGCTGGAGGGCAAATGACTCGTTCAGTGAACTCGCCTGAGATTGTGACAGTACAGGAGGCCGAGATTAATTTGTGTAATGATTTGAAGGTAAAACTTGTTTGAAGATGATAAGAGGTGTACTAGTCGAGTGGTCTTAAAATCAAAGAGAGAAAACTTCTTGAATATGAGATCTAGGCATAAGTGGGAGGGTTTTTAAAGGAGAAACCATGAGGTTGTTGATTGGACTCATCTGGCTCGGGATATGACCCAGTGGTGGGCTCTCCTGAACACGCTAATGGACCCACGGTTGTCAGAAGTGACGGGTTAAGTTATTGCTTTTCTAAGGGACTGTCAGCTCTTCAAGAAAGACTCCGTCCGAGGGAGTTGTTTTTGCCCGCCAGAGCGTCATCGGCAAGGCACTTGCTTCTGCTTCGTGCGAGACGCCTCAAGTCCGCGAACATACTGGCCCGCTTTACTCACACGCCGGAGAAGTTGCCGACTTACGCTGGGTCGGTCTCGGATTCTGTTTTAAAAGTTTAAATTCGCAAATACAGAGCCGGTTTTGATGGACGTGAGGCCATGGAAGTAAACCACACGCAGCGTCTGTGCGGAATGTTGGGGACGTGGCTCCAACATGAACCTGACGCCACTTTGTCGGTGGATTCTTCCTATCTTGTTACCGAAGCAGGGGTTCGCAACCCTCGGTCCGCCGATGTGTTTTAGCGTCACGCTGATAAACACGCGGAGGGATACTAGCGAGTCGTGGCAGGAACACAGCTTCAAGCGTCTCTAGAGACCGATTATGCCAAAGAGAAGAGAAGAGGTTTATTTGTAATAGAAGGTAGGCGTAATTTGGAACCATCTCTAATAGATCGCGAGTCGATAGCGAGGGGTGAATTTGCCCCAACGTCTGGGAAAGGTTAAAAACTGCAGGCTTAGAGGGTAATTAGCTAGGGCGGCGGCACGAACGTGACATCTACAGAAAGACGTGTGAAGTTTTGGGCTTCGTGTAGGATCGTGAAATTTAGCGTCTGTGTAGGTCTTCGAAAAACGTGTGACGTCGTTGATGTAATTCTCTGTAGAATGCGAAAGAACAACATGGCAGCCACGCGAAGTGCGCGTGCACCCTTCGGCATGATACCACTGGACCCAGGCGCGACGTAGATTGTGAGCATGCCTACAAGCTCTGTGTGTTGGCATTTTCAAGCGTGGCTGCGGTGCGAAACTTTGAGGTTATGTGCTGGTAGCCGAATAATCGAATTGCACGATTGTTAATTTATTCTGTCGTCTGAGAGATTTTGTGTGTCATACCCACTCACCGCTAATGGAGTCCACCAGGTTAACGTAGCGGTCAATGGCCATTCGCACGAGTCCCGACATGGCTCCGAGTCTTACCGCCAGCTGCAACTGTTTGGACAGCAAAGAAAACAACACTTCACCATCACAAAGATCAACTTGTCCATGCTGTGGTACGAACCCCCCCCCCCCCTCAAAATGCAAATGCACAGCTGCTGACGTGGCGCACGTAACTACAGAGGGGCGTTTGAAGAGTTCAGCGCCACCGCCCAGTTTTGCGGCGTGTGGCGCGTCCTCCTCGAACGTCGGCCTCAGTTTTACCTGAGTGGCAGCGAACTTGTCCCTGCTAAATGTTCGTTTTTCTGTTGGATTCGGGGGGATTGCATCAGTAGGATGCGCTAGAAAGCTCATTTTCTCAACAGGAAACACCGCGTTTGCGGTAATTGTAGAAGCTGGTCCCCGTTTACGAAAGCGAAAGCAATCGAAGTTGTTTCCGCTTTATTTCCCGACTTAATGCTCCTTGCGTCACCGGATGTGAGTGACAAGTGACTCCCGGAGCGCGTGGTGGTGCGAACAAACACACTCAAACGATCCTGCGGAGACCGAGTCATTCCAGTGCATAAGAACCGTTCTTGCCTCTCAGACTCCAATGAAGAGTCTTCAGCGGTCGAATTTTGTCGAGGGTATGCGCCCCGCTTGAAAGTATGCCAGCATTTTCCGGAGCCCCTTGCCCTGATTCCAAGACACGTCTCCCGAACCGCGAAGCTCCCGATGAGGCTGTGCGCATTCGAGCAGAGCCCTTCTTGAGAAGCTAATAGTCGTTCAGCTGGTCAACGCCGCTGGTCTTTGCCCTGAGCCAGACCGATTCGATCACCGGATGTTTGTCGTTTCTTCAAGTCGCTGGCCTACAACACGTTCCATTCCTCGTGGCAGATCCCACTGAGGACGCTTTTAGCGATGTCCAAAGAGTGCTTTTACGACAAACTTTCTGTCCGTGTTTTTGTTGTGACGCAACCTGTAGAGAATGCGTTCACTCGGTCAGAACTAGCCTACGGCGGGGCCG